AAATTTTATGCATACTTGTTGTGAATATTACGGCCACACAGTACCCAAGCTTTGTCGATAGACTAACCCCAGTGATTTGGGTAAGATTTTTTTGATTGGTCGCAAAGTGGGATCAAGACTGCGCAATAGCTTCCCCAATGAATTTCGCTTTCTATTGAATAAAGTGAATAAATATGAGGCTTCGTTATCCTAGTGATGCAACAGCGTCTTAACGCACTGTGGGAAAACAATAAGCTGGATGATACAGTTTGATGCATTAAGAAGCGTTCTGCTAGAAGACATGAGATTTTATCATTCATGTGAAAGGTAATTTGTCGCATACCACTTAGTTCACCAGCCCTCTAAGCCAAGTCAGAAGCTTCCTCATAATACTCTTCTACGATGGCAGATGGACAATTCACCTACACAAATTGTACGGAAATTATATCAAAACATAAAAAAGAATTCATTTATTATGTACATGAGCATAATGTTTTGGCCATTCGTATTATATATATATATATATATATCATGGTGGTTTTCTCTCTTCCTTTAATAAAGACACCAAAAAGCTTCTCAGTAAATACGAAAGGATCTAATTGAAAATAAGGAGATAAAACTAAATTATTCAATCAAACATGTCTCAGGAATTTACGATTTTTCTCTTAATCGAATACTGATAAAATACATGTTTATTGGAATATCTGATCTCTTTTCCTTGTTTCGACCGTCGTCGGGGTGATCAAGTCAATGCGAACGACCCTTTCATAGAGTTTTGAATTCAAAGTTTTCCTTCTCCTAGACCAGTTGCCAGTCAAGGCTATAGAATTCACTTTGTTCTGCTATTTATCCATAGCTGGGGGGAAACAAGAAAGGATTCATACCTTTCCCAAGGGTATTACCACTGTTGAAGCTTAAATAAGCATGGAATAATACAACACAAAATGTACGTTAACAAAATGTATTGAAACAAAGAATAGGTACACAATATTTACAGTTAGTTTGGTATATTCTTGGGAAGACTGTTCCTGCATAATGGGTTGACTAAATCGCAGTCGGGCAGAGTCTCTGGATTCAATTTCTTAATCTCTACTATCTTCCCTGTCTTCCGGTACCAACCCATATTTATATGGTCGGTAGTCCGCTTATGTAAATTAGGTGTATCATGTGTGCAACCACTGACATCTTTTAATGGTTGTAAATTATGTGGTGAACCATTTTTTTTTGTGTGTGTGTGTGTGTGTGTGTGTGTGTGTGTGTGTGTGTGTGTGTGTGTGTGTGTGTGTGTGTGTGTGTGTGAATATTCAGATGATTTGTACAATTTTAGTAATCGAGTGATTAGTATATATGACACACGGGTTCAAATCTTACTATGACTGATTTGTCAAAGAGGTAATTTCCAGTGCGTACTATAGTCCTGTCACTGAAATTCGATAGATTAAATTATTCAGAAGTCGTCGTGCTAGCAATGAGTTCTTGTCTGAGAGTTTGAGTGTGTTAACCTTTTCCAGTTAGTAATTGTCGGTACCTACTCGAAAGAGGATTGAGGCAGGTGAGATCGAGCAAATCAGGCTGTCGAATGATTGGTATGTCAAGGCCCGCATTGATTGCGCCAGCCCGACTGGCGGTGTCCTCTTTGGTCAGTTTGGTCTTTGAGATCGTGCACCGTTAGATGTCTTAGGAGGTTGGTCGCGTTCAGTCTGGTCCATCTTCTTCGACCTTACGACCATGGGTGGCACTACAGAAATTTAAACTCCAGACGGTTTCGCTTTTTGAATCACTGGGGCACGCAAGCCCTGATTACTGATAGATATATATGAACAGTGATAGATAGATAGATAGATAGATAGATAGATAGATAGATAGATAGATAGATAGATTATGCACTCTCTCCTACAAACTATAACTTGCTCGCTCGGCATAGTTGCAGTATAAATTACATGTTCGCTCTATGGGTGTTAAAGAAACATCAATGCGCCTGATTACCTAGCCATCCAATAAGATGGACATACTCGGAAAACCAAGTATAAAAATTGCTTAGGTATTGGCCAGTCATTACATTACTAACCATGACGTAAGTGATTTTTATCTGTTCGTAATTTGGAATAAGCTTTCAAGGGTTAGAAATGAAATGGTAAACTATGTCTTAGAACAGGCATGGGAAACCTTTTTCGAGCAGTAAGACGCATGAGATGTGGAATACTAAAAGGAATGAAAGTAATTCTGCATACCAGTTAGCATTTGCCTTAGAAATGAGCAAAACGTCTTTGAAAAAATTGTTTTAAGTTATATAGGAATAAAGTGTCGCTACCGACACTTGAGTTTGAACATAGATCGCCAGTGAGCAAACACAGGCGATCCCATTATTGAATTAAGTGGATCACGTGACCATAGAGGAAACGCATATATAAGAAGTCGCGTGGCGTCTAAATGATCGTTATTTCTATTCTATCCTCTATTACTATACGGATCGCTATTTCCACTCTATTACAATATGGAGCGCTATTCTCTACTCTATTCACTATACTATTTCTCTATTCGGATCACTATACGGATTACTGTTCGAGCGAGTATTATCGAGCAAGTACTATTAGTGTGAGTGCTATTCGAAGACGTCTGACACCAGTATTGTTCAACGGCGTTACTATAGTTGCATCTGCTATTACAAGTCTCTACTACAACGAACATTACAAAAGTGACAACGAGTATTCGTTGACATCACAAAAGTGTCAACAAGTATTCGTTGACATCACAAAATTTTTAAACTTAAAAAAGTCTTGGTTTTCTCCCCGCTCTTTTGAACAGGAGTAGAGGTTTATCCCTTGTTTCCTGTTTAGGTTTCGGTTTCAGGTTTAAAATGTCACTTCCTATGAAAGGAAGGTTTAGGAAGATATTCTGCAAATGTATTTTTTTGCTTTATTAGTAAGTACAAAACAACAAGTAGCAGTAAACCGTACAAGACGTGATAACCAACGTCCAGAAGGAAAAAGCCACATAAAAAATATATTTAAGCATAAGTTTCGTTTTCATGTTTAAGGTTTGATCACAGTCTTTGAAAACTGAAAGGATCTTGTTTAATAGGACAAAACACGTCTGAAATGTAAATATATACAACGAATGAAAATATCTTTATATGTGAATGTACGTATAATTGGATTTTGAGTATTTACGAACGTGCTTCGAAGTGAGAAATTATTTGTTTAGGGTGGGAAATTATTCGTTAAAGATGGGAAATTATTTGTTTAAGGCAGGATTTTTTTTTTTTTTTTGTATTCAATTTCCTATGCCCCTTGAATTCAAGAGCTAAATATAATAAAAACAATCATAATAAATCGTTACATAAATGTTCTAAAAGTTTATTAAATTATGGTATTATATATATGAGATATATCTAAGTATAGCGTATTATATATACATATATTTAATATAGTGCATATGTATAGAATTACACACACACAAATAAACATCGATCAACAATTACAACTTTTTTCCTATTTTGTATAACTATCAATAGAGCCAATCAGCGTCGCCTCCATGAAATGCGCGTTTCTTGGATTCTACCAAATACGCCAGTCATTTTTTATTAATTTTCTTTCCTTTTTTGATAGATAGATAGATAGATAGATAAAATCATTAAGTAGTTTTCCATTTGACTTCAGCCACTCCATCACATTTTATTTTCTTACAGGAGTAAATTTCAATTTGCAGACTTTTTTTAATTTGTCGTCTTCTTGCATAACAATAGCCTTGGCTCTAAGCACTTTACCGATTATCTGCTACCTTTTTTTTGTCGTTCGGTTTCGTTCGTTTTTTTTTTTTGTTTTCTTTTTTTTCTTAATTTTCATACCTTTTTTTTCACTCTCATTCAATAAATCAATCTTACGTTTACTCTCTGCCTTCATTCATATCATACATTCTTTTTCTTGCTCTCTCTTTCTCTCATTCAATCGCTTTTTTATTTTTTTCAATTTTTTCTGCGTTTCTCTTATTGTCGTCTTATCTTTTTTCTTCTTTTTTCCATTTTTCCATTACGCTCTCTATATCTCCCTTGTTCTCTCTCTCCCTCTCTATCTATCTATCTATCTCACTCACTCTTTCGCAAGTTCATTCTCATTTTGACCAATTATTTTTCATACGCCCTCTCTTCCACCCTCATCATCAGATCCTTAGTTTCTCTTCTCTCCATTCATTCTCTCTTCTTCAATATTTCTTTTCTTACTTCTCTTTTGTCACTCATGTTACACGCTTTCCTTTATGTCAACTTTTCCTAATTCTCCTTCTTCCATTCTTTCACTCATATCTCTCTTTCCAACCCTCTCACAAATATTCTTCTTTCTTTCTTTATCCTTGTTTGACCTTTCTTTTATTTTAATGTATTTAGCCTCCGTTTCATTTTTTCTTCTTTTTACCCTCCTCTATATTACTCGAATTCTTTTTCTCTTTCCCACATATTATTTGTCTCTTTTGTTTTTTCGTTTATTTTTTTATCTTTGTTATTGTTTTACAAACAAAATTTCAAAGTTTCACTGCCTCTCTCCTCAACGTACACTAATAAAAAAAAAACTCAATATCTCTTAAACATACACATATAAAAACGCACTCTCTCTTAAATATACACACATAAAAAGACTTGTCTAATTCTGACTTAAGCTGTTTGTGATTTGATGTTTGTTAGGCGAAAAATAAACGAATGAAGTAGTTATCACTTAGGCACAATACACGAGTTTGCACATTGTCTACAAGTAGTGAACAACCGTGGAGAAGATACTAGAAAAGTGAAATCGGGAAATGGAAAGACGCTTAAAGAAAAAACAAGGAAAAGATTGAAGCAAATTATATGAAAGCGAGAAAAATACGAAGGAATTAGCGATTCGCGAATGTGAATGACTGGATAATAGAAAAAAAATGGTGGTCGTCTATTTATCATCAGGCATCGATGGGCGTTAACAAAAGTTTCGATGCGAAGCCAATTATAGGGCCTGCGAGGTTCGATGGATGAGAGAAAGGAAAAAAAAATAACTCTATGTTGAAGGAGATTTAAAAAAAAAAAATATGTGGCGAGAAAGTCGAGGTAAGAGTAAGTTCAAAAGAATGAGAGAAAAGAAAGCACAAAAAATACGAACACGGATCATATAGAAGGGAAACGTTATAGTCGTAATGATAATATTATTGTTAAGAACAAGAGAAAAAAAAGGGAAAAATGGGGAAAAAAAGAAGGAAAGGGGAAGAAAAAAGGAAAAAAGGAAATAATATGAGAAAAAAGGAAAAAAGAATGTAAATAAAAGAAAAAGAAGCTACTAGAATTAAGGTGTAGTGATGATGATGATGATGATGATGATGATGATGATGATTGAGGAAAGGAAGAGGATAATGTGCTAGGAAGGCACAAAATAGACAGGTAGAATGATCAGTGAAAAATAAACAAGTATTTTAAGACACAGACGGTTCACTCTATCCAAAATCGTTTTTTTTTTTTTTTTTTTGTTTTTTTGTAAATGGTGAAAGGGAAAAGCCACAACACGCGCGTGCACACGCAGGCACACAGACAGACGCGAGTGCGCGCATACACACACACACACACATACACACGTATGGTACAAATTCATCTCTTCTCTTTCCCGCCCCGCCAGCTATGGGTAAAATAGCAAGACAGACTGGGTCCTATAGCCTTGGATGGCGATCAGTCTAGGAGAAGGACAAATCTGAATGCAAAACCTGCGGAGGGTCGTTTGGGAACCTTTTGTCATGCTAAGTACCAACTCTCTGTATTCGGCTATTCCAAAAAGTGTGGTTAGTTCTGCACAAACCTTCACTGCTATAATCAAATATATATATGTCCAATCACACAATGAAAGAAAAAAATCAGCTTTATAAATATGAAATTCTTCTCTGAGTGCATGAAAATGTTGGATTATCAGTTGTGCCCTTAATCATCGGATCACTAGAAACGATTACAAAGGCCCCTTAAAAGAGACAGGAAGAATTAAAGATTGAAACGATTCAGACTATGTAATGTTGAAGTCGACGAAAATATAAAGGAAATTGTTGAAAACTTGATCCCTCAGAAATCTCTTTCAAGAAGATACATATAATGTTCCCATTATTATTGGCTCGCTTATAAAATCAAGTATTGGAAATCCGCGGTAAAATCTAATTCATCCAATCGACAGTATTAATGTATTTTGATCAGAATACTTAGAAATGTGGTGTCGTATTGAGCCGGCTTGCTGTCAGTTAATCTCGAGTATTAAACACCAGCTACTACTCGTGAAAAAAAAAAATGGATGAGTAGAAATAAAACAAGAAAACTATAAATTCTGAAAAGAGAATAACAAAATAAAAAAAAGTGAAAGAAAAGACAAATCGCCGACAATGACGGCAACGATAATGACAAAAAAAATCTATCAAAAAAATAAAAAAGAAAGAAAAACTTAAAAAAAAAAACGGGACAAATAAAGATATGGTAAAATGGAGGAGGTAAAAAAAGAAAGAGAAGAAAGCTCTGTCGATGGCGGTATCGTTGCTAACGGCGATGGCTGAAAACTCGAATTGAACGACTTTTGTTCTTGAAGAACGAAAAACGATGGAGAAACGTCTGCGAGATATGTGTGTCACGTTTTAGCCCAAAAGTCGTCAAATTCCATCTTTTTTTTACTCTAGATTGGTCGGTGCCAGAGACAGTGAACAGACGAAGAAAAAAAAATAACTAAACAGATCGACTGAGATATAAAGAAAAAAATAAGAAAAAGCAAAGAGAAACAGAGTGACGGGAAGGTAAAGAAAACTAAAGAAGAGGGAAGAAAGAAGAAAAGGAAAATACTTTCTAAAGTGAAGAGCCATTGAAATAAATGGGACCCGGCAAAAAATAGTCGGAAATAAAACGGGAAAAATAAATAAATTGATTAACATGACAGAAAACATGAAGTGCTCATTCGGGGTTTTATTTAACGCCAACGCTTGGGTTCAATTTTTTGCTGTGTATGCGACACGAGATGTTTGTGCGAATGCATGGAAATGTTTATGTATTTCTTCTTTCACTTTTTTTCTCCCTAAGCTCCATCTTTCTCTCCCCCTGTATCTCTTTCTTTTTTTTCTCTATTTATTTAGTTCACCAACATAGTCTAGCCACTAGTTCTCTCTATCACCAACTCTCTCATTCTTTCAAACTCCTTTTATATTATTTAATATTTTTCATACTCCTTTTTTTTTCTTTGTCGTTCTTTCTTTTTAAATCCTATGTAAATTTACTCATGTCTATAACTTCTTACTTGAGATTTTTTTAATTCCTTTTTTCATATTTAATGAATGCATATTTCGACGCCTTCTTAAATGTGTATACATGTACGTACGCATGGATGGATTACCCAACAAGAAATGTATTTTAAGTGCATTTAGTTATTTGCCTCATACATTCTACATGAATGAATGAATACATATCTCTTTGAATAGAATATGCGGTCAAAACAGACTTGCTCTGCTTTAATTGGAAAAGTTATGGTTCACTCCGATTTAGGACGGCTCTATAGAGAAGAACATTACAGAATAAAAATGAATATATATTTCACGTATGAATAACTGCTTTCTAGTTATATCTATGTACACATAAGTATATACATATATATACGAGGGTACAGGTACATGCGTGACCGTGTGTGTGTGAGTAAGTATGTATGAAAATATATGTAAAGAGAGAAACGAGGTTGCACTGAAAATTCTCAGCCCGAGCCTCTTCCCAAAAGAAATATGAATTTGAATCAATTATTTTATGAATAGAAGTTAAACTGTCCCTCCTCCAACAATCCACATTTTATTTTATCTGTTTCAAATTGCAACCTGACAAAATGGTGACCGACATGAAATCGTGTGGATAAGAGCACAGTTATGCAATAGGCAATGCGTTTCAGTAATAACAACAGTTGTTTATGCAACAAGTTCTGAGCAGTCCTACCCAGCTGTTATCTTATGAAATGAAAAAAAAACTTCGAAAATACATAGCGAATAGTGGCATCTATGTAGAAAAATAACGTTTTGTCGCTGAAAACTTGCTCTATCCAGTGGCGTTATTGGAATTCTTATATCTGTTGAAGTTATCATGGAAATAAATAGGAGGCATTACTTTCGTAGTGGGCATATATATATATATATATATATATATATATATATATATATATATATAGTACAGTATTTACATTAGTCGGACTATTGTCCTCATCTTTGTCGCCATATTTGTCACTAAACGTTTCGGCCGTTGTACGCTCCGGCCTTCTTCAGATGGTTGGAATTTCGAACTGAACCCTGAGCGTACAACGGCCGAAACGTTGTGACGAATATGGCGACAAAGATGAGGACAATAGTCCGACTAATGTAAATACTGTACATAATCACCTCATCTCAGAAATATAGACATATATATATATATATATATATATATATATATATATATATATATATATATATATATATATATATTTCACTTGTATTACCTTACTTGAACCGGCTTCTAATGCTCTGGAGGAAGAGGCTTGGGGAAAGAAGACGTGTCTCTTGGGGTCACAATCCATTGGGTTAAGTATACTTGGATGAGTTACACCACGGAATTTAGTGAGAGCGGCGTTATATTCAGTCTAGTTAGTTACCGATTCGTCACCGAGTCCCGCTTGCGTCGAATCGTAACGGTCCGGATTCGCTTTAAAGCTTAGATTGGATTAAAAAATATTTATCAATATTGTGATTTTCTTTCTTCGTTTAATGATAAGGTTATTAAGATTATCAGACGTTAGAATTTAGATAAAATTAATAGACAACACTTGTCTATATTATTTAATGAAACATGTATGAATATATATATATTGTTTAAAATTTGCAATATTTATGTGTGAATAAAGCGAGCATTTGTAGATAAGAACTGTTCATGTAGAGCTAACTGACAGACTACGTTGAAACACCAGTTCTCGAACTGTCATTAAAATTAAGCAACATCTAGACTGGTCAGTACTTATATAGGTGACCACATGGTGCTGTAAGCTTGTATAGTCGGTTGCTGTAAGCTTGTATAGTCGGTTGGTGTAACTGATAACAGCTCGGAATTGGAAATCGAATATCCAAGTTACAATTCCAGTCGTGACTGCTATATTCACTTTTGCGCAAATACCATTGGAAAAGATATAAATCTACTTCTTATCCTCCCACATGGGTTAATTAGTAAAATTTATATCAGTAAGAAACATTATTATCTCCAGTACGTTCTTACAGTCTAAAAACATTTTCAGGCTTTAAACAATCTGCAAAAGGTTGATAAACCATAAAAACAAATGTGTATATATAAGGAATAATGAATAGCGGCTCGGATTGAGGAATCGGAGAGCCGAGTTCGAATTCCAGTCAAATCCATTACATTCACTTACGTGCTAATACCCTTGGGAAAGGTATGAATCTTCTTCTTCTCCTCCCAGCTATATAGCAAGACAGATCGGGTTGGACTTGGATGGCAACTGGTCTACCACAGAAAGAAATGGAAAAAATCTTCCTCGTCAATCATGTATCGAAAGATACTTGATCGCCTAAGTGTGTACCACACATGGCAAATAATTGACCGATATATGAGACAATATCATTTTCGGTCACCTTGTTACTTCGAAACAAACAAGTACATAACAACACTAACCTGATTTGAACCAACGACCTAGAGGTAAGAAGACAAACAGCATATCACTATGCCAATGTTAAATTGGTATTAGGATAGTTTTCAATTAGTTTGTTAAAGTTGCTGATATCTTTTCTACCTGACCAAGCAATTTTCCCCAAGAAAAAAAGATCTGATGTTTAGTCATTTAGTCAGGTTTTAAAATGTGGTTAGGCCAATAACTTTGCAGCACCTTCTGCTATGCATCAGTATAAAATTTTCAGATATACATCAATTTAATTTCTATGAAAAAATAATAAAATTAAAATCGAACCATGAAGAATGGTGGTGACAACAAGTGTAATATAAATATGAGTGGGTGCTGAAAAGGGTTAGACCGACCCGCTTCCCAAAATCAGTATTTCAATAACCAAGCATAAGAATAATAATTTTGAGAAGTGCGTCGCATAGATAGATAGATAGATAGATAGATAGATAGATAGATAGATAGATTCTTTAAGAATGGATTTAATAAAGGTTGGTGATGTAATACAGTGTTTTAACGAGTGTTTATAGTTGGTAAAATATCAGGAATCCCTCGAAGTATTTTTGACGTAAAGAATTATGTTCTTTTTTTAATTAGTGTGGCATTTGTAAAATTATGGCCAGTTTTGTTCCTGTGTATTACAACCGAGTTTAAATGGTTGCCCCAACGTATGTATCTCTTGTGTTCATAGACTGAGGCTCTTAGATTTCGAGATGTCTCGTTAATATAAATGTTTATACATTGTAACGAATTTGTTTGATAAATCCCAGCAACTGAAATACTGTTGAATTTATTTTTCTTTCTAATTATATATCCGATTGTCTTGAAGGTGGTGGTAAAGAGCCTAGCGTTGGGGGATAATTGATTTATTTTCAAATTTTGTACATAGATTCTTAAAGGAAGGGTTATGAATTTTGTATTGTTGATGTTAGAAGTGCTATCGTCGGTGTCTAATTTGGGGGATTTGTGGACTTTATATGCTCTATTTTTAGCGTTGAGGTTGAAAAATGTAGGTTAGTCTAATGTTTTGTTGGGTTTTTTTTCAATATATTTTTCTTCTTCACTTATTTAATCTGGGCTACATATTCTAAGGGCTCTCACGTAAAATCTTATGACTAGTACTGATGTTATTTTTTGACTGTGGTGGGAAGAAAAATTAATTAGATCGTTTTATTAGTTGGTTTGCGGGAAAATCTAAAATCTAATTTCTTATTGTTACTCATTAATGAGATGTCGAGGAAAAAGATAGATAGATAGATAAATAGATAGATAGATAGATAGATAGATAGATAGATAGATTTAAATAGACTAAGGTATTATTCAACCAAATACCTTTGAAAAAAGTAAAAGGCAAAAGTAGGTATACAGTAATGAAATACAAAACTTGTACCAAAACGTATTGTAGTGATTATACAAACATATCAATAATAAACATATTAGTAATTAACCAATCAGTTATTAACCAATCACTCACTCAAATGTTCAAACTGTTTGCCCCCCCACACCCGTCATTCACACACTCTTCTTCACCTGAAAAAAAAAACATTTATTATTATTATTATTATTATTATTTATTTATTTATTTATTTAAAAATAAAAATTATAAATTTATGAAAATAAAAATATTAAAAATGATTTTAATGAATTAAATGAATTCTAGTATTATATGAATCCAAGAACGACTAGTATACTAATAGTAATACCGATATTACTGGTATACAACTAGTAATACTTACTGTATATCTACTTTTGCAGCCTCCTGTATATGTTTAAAAATAACGTTTATAGTAATAAAGAAATAATGTTGGATAAAAATATATTCTTATATATATATGTGTATGTGTGTGTGTGTGTATGTGTGTGTGTGTGTATGTGTGTGTGTGTGTGTGTGTGTGTGTGTGTGTGTGTGTGTGTGTGTGTGTGTGTGTGTGTGTGTGTGTGTGTGTGTATGTGTGTGTGTGTGTGTGTGTGTGAGTGTGTGTTCAGCTAGAAACGTCTCGTTTGCAAATTAAAACATAAACAAGTGAAAGTGTTATTCTTTTCTTTTTTTTATTGGAGAATGGAATTGTCTATATTGAATGATCGCAACAACACATGTCTGACAAGAAGTCTACCCTCCTGTCATTTTGCAGTTTTAGATTCGAATCTGAACAGATGGACACAAGATTTGAAAGATTTTTATCAGTATTTATAACTTCAAATGTGATCTGTCCCTATTTGTGAAAGATCAGTTGACAGACAACCAAATATCGTTTAACAGATAAAATCAGCGATAGCGGAGTGGTTCCTGAATCGATTTTCAACACAACTCGTAAACCTAGACCTTTCTGTAGGATATATATTTCATATATGAAGAGAATTGTTTTTGTTATCTCTGCTTGTTAGCTGTATTAATCAGAATCTTACACTGGTAAGTCTTTAGGATACAAAATTTGATTTCGCTCTTTAGAAAGTATTGTTACTTGAAGCTTAAACTTTTTGTAGTCGTCCACTTTATAACAAGTTTTAGCCTATTTAGTATTTTGTAGAATTTCCATATATATACAATTTTAATTAAATTCCGTATTTACTTCTTTAGAAAAGGATATTGTATTATATATATATATATATATATATATATATATATATATATATATATATATATATATATATACCCTACAGCCCAAACGTTTTAGGCGACCCCTGGTAATTTTTAAATTAGCCCCAAAAGTAGTTGTTTTGTACTTTAAATAAGAGGGAAGTATCATGCATAGTTAAAAAAAAAGTGTGACATGATTTTTTATTAGAAATTTTATGACAAAATGAAAAAAAAGCATTTTATGATTAAATTTTGCTCTCGTCAAAATACGCTCCTTTACCCTTGATTACTTCAGCACAAATTTTTGGCATTCATTGCAAAATTTTCTCAAAATATAAGTTTGATAATTGATTCCATTCTTTTTTCAATGACTCTAAGAGCTCTTTTTTATTTTTTTCACTCTTCTATTAAGTTCCTCCCATGCTAATTCTGGGGATGGCTGCAAATTTTTAAACTGAAGAGTGTATATATATATATATATATATATATAAAACTATAAATGTCATTTTTAGTGAGTGTACGTATTTGTTATCCGTTTTTTTTTTCTTCAACAGTGAAATTAATAACAAGAGGACTAGACTGTGAAGTCCTACCCAAAAAACTGTTCCTCCGTCAGGAATAGAACCTGTAGCCCCTTTTTTCCATCATGGAAACTGTTCCTATAGCTGAAACGTGATTTACCAATTTGACTAAAGGGTCGCGTTGATAGAGCGAAATTTGAATTACATATTTAAGGCATATTTCAGCTAGAGAAACGGTTTTCCTGATGGAAAGTGGGGTACAGGTTAGATTCCTATTGCACAGTTTTTCTTTTTCTTTAGTAAGACTATCTGGTTGTTATCAGATTCACTGTTTTAGAAAATTAAATTTAACAAAGATAACACAAATATGTGTAACCACTAAAAATAACGTTTATAGTAATAAATGGTGTTGGATAAAATACATTATATATATATATATATATATATATATATATATATATATATATATCGTGTCTGAAGTTATTAAGCAAATTATATAAACTTCAATAATTCAAATTTGGTTTGAAAAAAAATTGTCAAATTAGATGTTAAACAAAGCCTGAGTTAATTTTAGGTAGTATCAATATATTGTATTGAAGTTATTTGAGGTATTCTAAACCAAAAAAAAAACTGCCGTCTGAAGTTATTAGGCAAAACCAAATAATCACATTTTACTTCAATAAAAAGGTAATAAAATAATCAAAAATTGATTAACATCTACAACGGAACAAATCACAAATACATTTAAGTCTTTAAATCCTTTACATTTTAATATAGTCACCTTTATTCTCAATAACAGCCAATAATCTAGCGTCTATTTATTTTGTTGATTTTTTTTTTTTTACTTATCAGGTTCAATATCCGACATAGTAGTTTTAATTGCTTCCCATAGGTCTGCTTTGCTGTTATATTGTTTGCCACCTTCATATAAATTTATCTTCACAAGTGACCATAAATTTTCGATCGGATTCAGATCAGAACTTGATGGTGTCCATTCCGTTACCATCTCTCTAGTAAATATTTTATCTGCAAAGAATTCACGGGTAAGCTTAGATACATGAAAAGGAGCATTGTCCTGCATAAATACACACTTCACTTTGAAACTGAGCGACTAGGACTTGTACTATGCAAAGAAAGTCTTGTTCATAAAATCGCAATAATTAGCACTGTTCAGTTTAACTCCTTCATCGACTTTGAATGGTCTAATAATGATTTGGTCGACAATTCCAGCCCATGTCATAACATTACCGCATCCTTGTTGCTTTCTTTTAGACACAGACATATTTGAATTGGATAAAATTAATCCTTTAGATCATCCATCAGGTCCATCAAAAGTCACTTGAGATTCGTCCATGAAAATTACTTTAGAAAAGTCAATTTTGACGCTTCAAAATATTTGCTTTAGTTAGGGGAGTTTGCCTCGGAGATTGTTTTACAGATCCCAATTCACAAAGTATTCTACATCTCTTGTCCTCCTTAACTCCCTCAATTCCAGCCTTTTCAAAGTTCTGACCGCTGTAGTTTACGCTCATCCCGAGGGAGCAATTTCTTAAAGGCTTTTCCTTTGCTTCGAGTTCTAAACTTACTTATATTTTCAACAGCCTTCTTTATATTTCGATGATTTCTGCAAAGATCCTTTAATATCTCCAATATGGACATTCACTCACTCAATAACTTTCTTATTTTCTATTTTTCAACAGTTGTCAGATCCTTCCCTTTAGCAATGTTTCAACATATATTATGGATAAAAAGAAGAATAGTTTTATTAGATTTCAGAGGTCTTAAGGTAATATTAGTTTAATTTATTAACTTAGTCCATTTTCTAAATAACAAATATCTCAAAAACTATTAAAATGTCAGAAAAATTAGTTAAATGTTTTACTAAGGTGTAAATAGACGAGTTTAAATTTGAAAAATATTGGTTCAGAACATTTTGAGTTATTGAGGTTTATTTGATTTGCATAACTTCAAACAAGCTGTATATATATATCTGTAATTTAAATTTACATTGATCTCTTTTTGGATTAATATGCTCCTTGCTATTATCCTTGGTACTGTATATATATATATATATATATATATATATATATATATATAATTTAGGCATATAAATAAATTAAGGCTCTACTTGTGTATTGAGCACTGCTTTTTAAAAAAATAAAAGAACTTCTGATTATTAACCTAAAGGTTCTTTCCTATTTTTCTCTATATTTGCGCGCACACACACACACACATACACACGCATATAAATATATGCGCGCACACACACACACACACACACACACACACACACACACACACACACACACACACACACACACATATATATATATATGCACACTCACACACACTCTCACACACACACACACACACACATGTATATATATGCGCGGTACTTATTGGGAAGAGCTCAATATCTGTGATTGAGCTAATATATTCAATTGTATGGATATTAGTTTGTAACCCTGGGTTTCACGCTTTTGCGATCATCATATGACTGAATATATATATATATATATATATATATATATATATATATATATATATATATATATATATATAATTTTTAATTTAAAGTTACAATAGCTTATCTGGTTTCTGGTATTTCTTTCAGTTTTCAATAACTAAATTATATTGAATATATTTCGTTCAATGCCTTAAATTTCTTATCAACAGCAGCAAAAGCATATACTTTATGGTTTGGCTGCAATGAGTCATCATTAAAACGAACATTCATCACGGTCCGTTTTCGTTATGATCAAAAGTTTAAGCTAACCAAAAGTTTAAGGAGTAATTTACTCTCGGTTGATCTTGGTAATACTACTGCTATAACTAAGACTCTCCTGTGTTTAATAGAAAAATATTTTCTATCTTGTCTAAAGAGATTTCTGGGACGCATAAGAAGGCCTAGAAAATTTAACACTCACATGGCATATTAAGGCAATAAAGTAGGAGTAAACAGCCAGGAGTATCCTACTTAACTAATTTGTGCTAATGGATGGCAGGAAAGAGATATAGAGGGATAGTAAAGTGTCAAACGTCACTTTCAAAGAAAATTGTGGAGAGCCATGACTGTCCATGTTCTGAAAGAATACGGCACATAAAAAATAGGAAGTTATCTCTCAGCGAAATTTTTTCTGTGCTAAAACATCTTAATCTATTGAATTTTTTTTAAGGTTTCATAGTATATAAATATATTAAGTCGTAACAAAATTTGTAGTGTTTTTAAGTGAATTTCCAAGACAGTATTTAGATATATATGTGATATTCTCTTCAATTACATTTAACTATCTTTGAAGCAGCTTCATGATTCCATCGGCACAGAGCTTGGCAACTTTTTTGGGTGATTAAGTGGTCTCAGTGATCTTTACAGGATTCCAGACAACTAAAGTTTGTCTTCTTTTTTTTTAATTAAGATTTAGTAGGGATTGAAATAAGGGGTAATCCAAAAATGCAAGTTCAAATGAGTAAACTAGCCAAACTGTCCCAATTTCTACCAGGTCTGCAAAAGTGACGTGAGGTTTAGCGTTGTCCTGATGGGAGATAACATCATTTCGATTGGAAAACCCCGATGCTTCTCAACGCTTACCTATTTTTAATCTATTCACTTGCGAACAGTTCAGAGTCTGATTTTGCGGGAAGATCCTGTTCGTGTCGTTCATTCACTGTACGACATTAAATCTTTTCTCATGCTATATAACTGATTAACTAATGGAAATCAAAATGCAATATCGAATTGTTGATTTTTTGTGGGCTTATTTTTTATACAAGTACGTTAAACAAGGAATATGAGGTCAGTGTAAAGGTTAACACGAACAGTGGAATCGATGTTCAGTTTCATACTAATATCTCTTTGAATTCCATTTTGATTGACTAATTCACAATCTTCATTTTAAAACAATTAAGTGAAACTGAATATGAAGAAAAAATAAGCAAGGGTGTCCAGTAAAAAAGCGGTAACCTCCCAATTGAAAATTGCGTCATTGAGGTTTATTCTTGGGTCAAAGCTGTCATGGATGCTTTCATCTCTTCTCAGAAATACCAGGTGAAACCGCAATCCTCTCCATGATTCACACCAGCATGCTCAGCCGACATATCTCACAGGAACAACTATTTTCGGCTATACCAGCGTGATAGCTTTCGTCATAACAGATGCCTATTTGCTACTGCTGGTAACAAATGTAAGCGAGTCCTCGAAGAAGCTAAGTCCCTGCTGGGAGAATGATGCACCGCATAGAATCTAAAAACTGACGTCTATGTAATAGGATACTAAATAAGTGTAAGGTCTGTATTCCCCGCCTCTTCAATCGATTTGGGGTATTATCATCCTCTGCTAGTGAAACCGAATGCTTCGCCCGTAAATTCTCCTCAAACTCTACTCTTGACTCATCTAGAGTATCCTGCCTAACTTCCCACTTAGAACTGATTCTCTGTTGAATGATATGCATATAACCCCTTTTATGGTGGATGCTATCTCATGGAAAGTAACTCGTTGCGCCTTCTCGGGTTAACATTCTCAGGTGGAAAGACTATATTGAATCTTTTGCTTGACCAGCTGCTAAGAATGTCGGTTCACTGTGTCGTGCGAGACAGTTTTTCTTTCCGGAATCTGTCTTGCATAAGTCTACCATTTGTCCATGCTTAGAATATTGCTGCCAGAGTCCGGTGACTCTGCTATTTACCTTGAGCTCTTTGATAAAAACCAAAGAAGAATCAGCAATATTATTGGACCTGATCTGGCGACATGGCTTCAGTCACTTGCACACCACCATAAGGATGCATCTCTGTGCCTTTTTTATAAATATTTTCATGTCAATTGTTCGAATGAGCTCATCGCTATGGTACCTGGACTGTATGAGTTTAAGCGCAATATTAGACTGGCGTCGAAATCTCATCAATTCACACTTGAGCTGGTTAGATGTAGCCGTAAGTTCTATGCTGACAGTTTCTTTTCTCTCACTTCTCGCTTGTGGAACTCCTTTCCAGCTATATGCTTTCCAGCCAACTTTAATTTGAAAAACATTAAATGCAATGTCAATCTCTATCTAGTGTCCTTCTTGTTGATCTTTTCTCTTTCTACTCATTACTAATGTGTCTTTTTCTTAATTTCTCCACACCCTGTAACCCCTTACATCCTAGTGGCTGTACAGTCTTGCTCGGAGTGACACCGATTAAAAAAATTCAAGAAGACGTGAGGCAACCGTTGAAAACTGGTGACGACTGATGGGATTGAAAAATTCAGGAAGAATTTCTGCACATTTCGTCAATCCCCACGTCGAATGTTCTTCTTTGAAAAATACGATAACTTGACGCTCAAAGTCAGTGAGTTGTTTAGCCATACAAGAAGAGCAGAACGAAAGACGAAAGTTGTCTTCAAATTACCTTAAAATGCCAAGTCACAAGATCGAGCAGCAATTAATCAATCCTAAAAGAACCAATTAGAGTTAAGTAATTACGCGAGTGTCGAATGATTATTCAAGATCATGAATATTCAAGAAATTCATTCAAGGATATTCAAGGTCACTTATTCTTAAAAGATAAAATAGTAATAATAAATTTGCCGCTTTTTTATTGGGCATTCTGTAGAATGAACGTGCTGCTATATAGCCTCTTCAACCATCAGAGTATCAATAAAATGTTTTGGTAAATTTTCTATACTCTTTGATTTTGTTTGGTACTTTTGATTACTTCCTGCAAGTTTTCTTTACCATAATGTGAAAGATTAATGAAAAATTCTGTAATACGAATTTAATACGTTTAACAAATTAGATATGTTCCTTATCTAGGAATTTTAGATGAAGGACTGTAATGTACAAGTGCTAAATTTGGATCGAACTTTATTAGAGAAACAGATTTCACATATGATATTCTGACTGCCTCACCTTTTTTTTTTCTTCTGGGGCACTTCGAAGTGGTGTAATGGTTAGCAAGCTTGTCTTGCTAGATCAGTTACGACTGAATAGTGAGTTCAATCCTCACTGGGTGCCCCATACTTTCGGCCTTTTACCACATCTAAGGTACGCTTAGAAAATAACCCTTTTTCATCTATGTGCCGTATCCCTTTAAAGAATGTGCGATCATGGCTCTTCACGACTTCCTATAGTCTGTAGCTCTTTGTAAGTTTTGTCTTTTCACTATTCCTCTCACTCCCTGTCCCGCTACTTCTTAGGTAGGTCACTCGTTGCTTCCCTCTGACCCTCTTGCCATCAATTTGTTCTGTGAATGTCAAATTCTCCAACCTCATTTCCTTCATTACATGTCCTAAAAATTTCAATTGTTTCTTTCACTTTCTACTTTCTAAGTATAAGCGTTTTTTTTGTTTTTTTTATTATTATTTTCCTAAAAAAGTCCCAGATGCTTACTCTCCTGGGTATGACGATAAACTACATCCGCGTCCTTGGTAAGACGATAAACTACGTCCAACAGCAAGGCCTCTGATCAGGAAGTGTGGAACCACCTCTTAAATGCTGGTGTTCCCAGGTCCACCTTGACCCGGGTGGTAGCATCTGTTAGGGTCCCAGCTATGCGTAAATAGTTAACCTCCAAACTGGAATCAAAACACTATGAAATTGTAAAAATAGGTTTTAATACCAGAAATATTTTGTAAAAAATTATTACCAGCTATAAATTTTTGAAGAAAAAATTATTACCAGCAATACAATATTACCAGCAATACTTTATTGGAAAAAAATATTACCAGCTATACATTTTTGAAGAAAAAATATTACCAGCAATACGTTTTTGAAAAAAAAATATTACCAGCAATAAAAATTTTGTCGGCATTAAATAACCTAAAACAGACCAAACCAAACCAAACTAAACTCAGTGTTCAGTCCATAGTATTCTCAGCATTCTTCTGTAGAACTACATTTCCGTTGTCTCAAGTCTCTTCTTCCTCTATGAGGAGATTGTCCAGCATTCACTGCCATATAGGAGGACTGATATTGCATAACAGCTTAGCACTCTGTCTCGCCTATTGAAGAAAACTAACTTCAAAATCCTATCGTAAGATTTAATGGAATAAAACCCTTTATTTTCTGAGATCATGAAACTATGCAAGCTCTCACTCATAGAGGCGGGTATATAGATTAGTATGCATAGAAAGAGAGTGCCATTTATATACGGTATGTGTATGTGAGAGAGAGAGAGAGAAAGAGAAAGAAAGAATTAAAAGGAGAGAGAGACAACTGTCTGCATGTACGGATGCGCAGACTTCAACATATTTATATTTCGCTATCTGTGATTTTATTTTTTTAATAAATCTCTTTGTCTTCTTCCCTCATCTCTTTCTCTGTGTCATTCTCCCTCTCTCTTGTCTCCTAGTCTCTTTCCCCTCCCGTTCTCTCCACCCTCTTTCTTTCCCTCTTCTTTTCTCTCTGTTTTTCTCTCTCTGTTTCTATCACTTTTCATTTCTTTTATTCTCTTAACTTTTTATTTTACATTATTTTTTCTCCTTGTCTATTCGTTTCTCAAATCGACAGGCCGTGTTTATTCCTGTCTGAATAAAACTCATGTTTTTCGATCGAGAGATTGGCCACAAGCCAGCAATTAGCGATTTTGTCACTTCCACATGCGACCTCAACGAGGCTCGCAAATTAACTGGAAGGGCGCCGAGGAGATAAAGGACAATACTGAAAACGAACATGGCGATAATAGTCCAAGTGAAGATCAAGTGGCTGGAGGAAGATGGATCAAGGGTCATGACTTGTGGACGCTGTGGAATGCAATACAACGCCTGTTTCGCAGATGATTTTTTTTTTTTTTTGGCTTTTTTCTATTTCTTTCATTTTATTTTCTCTATTTTTTATTCTTTTACTTATTATTTTATTGACTTTTCTACTTCATTCTTCTTTTTTCGTAAAGAATCCTGTAAAACAGCAATCATCAGCCATTTCATTTAAGTGATATTGCGTGTCAGGCGTAATTGTGGGTGCATAAAAAGAGAGTCTATTATACTGTAAATGCGAAGGGTTATAACCTGGGCGTTAATGTGCGCATGCGTGTATGGGCGTGGATCCGTGTGTCAACTCAGTTGGTAAATTGTTAGCCATGTCAATATTTGTGCATTGGTGAATGAAACAATGCGTTCGCATGTTTAATCGCCTGTGTGCGTGAGATTTTACTTGTGTAAGATTTCCATTTGTTATGTATGTACGTTTCTTTCTAAAAGGACATCTGTGCAGCAGAGTAACTGTGATTTTACTAGAATTATAGTGGAGGAGAGTGCTGTGCTACAGACATCGGTTGTGAATATGGTTCCGTTATCAGGATTTAGTGATTCGAACCTGACCAGAACTACGTGCACTAAAAATAAGAGTAGTCTCGAAATTTCTCACTTTTGAGAAAAATTCAGGTTTCAAGATTTTTTCTAGAATACTTAACTTTGTATGATATGAAGTAACGGCAATAATTTTTTATTTTCAAGAATCTGGACATGGGGAGGTGCGTGTAAAATGTTTATAAGAATGTGTTAATTTGTATGCTTTAACATATATATATATATATATATATATATATATATATATATATATATATATATATATAAAGACATGTTCGTTTAATAATTTAGACATGTTCTGTTAACTTATTTTCAATTAGATCTTTTCATATTCACGGATAAGCTTTTTGGGGTCGTTATTGAAGGACGAGAGAAAATCGCCTTGATACATATTTCTTTTATTCCGGGTACTTTCGACATAGCACAATGTTATCATCAGGTTATTGTTTATTGCAAGACATATATTGTATTGTTCATTATTGTTTCTTACTTTTGGAGTGAAGAACGCTGAGTCAGTGCGTGATCGCTGACACCGTTTAAGGTGAGGAAACTAAGTATGGTTGTGGGAATGCCAAGCAGTACAGTATGCCATTTCCAAATTTCTGACGGAGTGAAATGCGTCAGGGCGCTCCTTTTCTCTCATATGGTGCCCAACTGACCCTACTATCCTGCGCAGTCGACAAAATTAAAAACAAACGCGCATGCGCGAAATTAAAAATATAAAATGGCGACAATATACCCATCGCACCATGTATATTCATACGTAAGAAAACATAAACAGAGTGGACCTTTTGACAAGCCCAACGAATTAAAATATATTATTCTATCTACGAAATCTATCACAAATACAATGAAAAGAATTTAACAAAATTTGTTACAACTACTTTTAAAACAATAAAATACTTAATTAAGACAAAATAAACTTGAAGTAGGAATTTACTCCATCATTTCTAATAATTTCCACAATATATATATATATATATATATATATATATATATATATATATATATAGCTGAAATATAAGGGAATTTAAATAAAAGATTGTATGGATCTTTTACAAAACAACATCCATCAAGGTGTTAATTGCTCGCCGTACTGTGTTTGTCCATAATTTTGATAATAATAATGCTACTTTAATTAAAAGATAAAGTAATTTACTAAGATAGGTGTATATAAAGGGCTTTAATCGCAAGATAATCCACAGTAAATTTACGTCCAGATTCTTACAACATTTCACCTTTCTTGACAGATCTTTTACGAGTATTATTTCAATGTGGAATATTTTTGAATATGATAAAAAATAAACTAAAAGAAAAAGAAACTAAATGAAATCGGATCGAGTATATACCCAAAGACATATTTTAAAAAATATAATTTAAAATTTAAGCATCCTCTCTCCTTCATGCGTATGTGTAAACACGTCAACGTAAACATCACTTTAGTCAGCTAAAGTCATAAAGAACGAAACACGTCTC